AATTCTGGCAAAATCTTTTCGAAATGCGCATATGCTGTAGCACATATAAAGCTATGAATACTTCTTTTAGTAAGCGTTGATGTACGTTAAAGGCAGCGTCCACCCAAAATCTATTCACCCTGGATTACTACTTATCCCACTAGCAGGCCCTAAAAGTAGACCAACTGCGTTGGTTCGGTCCCCCTGATGTTGCCTAAGGACGTAAGGACCGGATCCTCTTTGCGCTCCGCCCCCTTTTTCGCGCTCCACCCACTCACGGATTGCCCCGTGACGTGTTCCGACATGACAAGCAACGTCGAGACGCATAGTTTGTGATGTGGCACTGTTGCACACGACGAGGTTTCCTGTAGCATACGACGTGACTAGCGCCGTGGCACTCGCCCACGTCTGCCAAAACAGGGCTCCAGAAAGGGGCAATTTTGGAGTTTTCTGGTGATCTGAACTTAATATCCGAAATCAGCGCCATGCAAAGGTCCGATAGCAATAAAAATATGGAAGACGAAAGTCTGGGTGTACGCTGCCTTTAAGTAGGTTCTTGTAGCCATCTGATTGACTGTTGGTGGCTGTTTTCTCAAAAATTAGTTCTAGTTCTTGTCGCCGGTCTCAGATTATCCTTAAGACATGCGCAGTTAGTCTGAAAAAATGGCTTCTTTGCACTGAGTGCGAGTCAGTGAACCCGTTTTTCTGGCATGAGGGCTGGAGTATCGAAGCCACTCATCCAGTCGTCGCTAACGGCAGCGAGGCTAGGAAGGCTCTATCCCCCTGATGCTCAATCTATTATCTTCACTTATTCAGAAAAGCATAAGTTACGCGGGCCCAGAAAGCGAAGAGATTTTCATTTTACGACGCTTAGTGTTGGGCTAGCTGCGAAATCGTCGAAAACAATGCTTCTGTATGGAGGTAGACTTGAAATATACTAGAACTATTGCAAACATTTAACGAACCAGATTTTTGCGTAACATCGTACTGCCTGATGAATCAGCTCTATTATTGTAGAATAACAACATGATATCTTCATGATATCTTTTCTTGCAAAACCGTCGAAAACAATGCAAACAATGCTCATTTTCATCAACTGTACGGAGTGTTCCAAAAAGAGGGATGTTCGATCGTCAATAACTTTCTTGTCACAGAGTTTTTCGAAAAATTTTGAGTACCATTTTGTAGAGCTGGCATCAACATAGACTTACAGTATGGCGCGAATCACCAAACGCTCTTCATTAGTGTAGGATTACGGTAGGTTGAAGAGGGTTTTGAGTATGAATTGCCACATTTCACCTCAGAAAGAAAACAAGATGACTTCAAAACTTTTACACTAGGCTAATTACAGTTGCTGATTCTAAATGGGAAGTTGCATCTTATTGTAATGCTTCATCAAAAAGTTATGACAGGTAAGCCGTGGCAGCCGCTTTCACAATGATCCTTAAAAAATGTGGTTAGACCGTTTGGAAAACTTCACAATTTTGTACAAAGTTGAGCGTTGAAATCAGCGTCCATGAAACCCTTCTTACTCAAGTTTTTCTAACTCAAGTTCCTAAAATTTTTTCTGAATTCATCTAAAATTATAGCTTTATCACAGTGACGCTTAAGCCAAAAGCTCCTACCGCAATCCCAAAGCAATGAAGAGCTATCGATGATTTGCGCCATAGTGAAAATTCAAGCCGAAGCCAGCTCTACGAAATGGTACCTAAAGCTTTTGGAAAAACGCTTTGAAAAGAGATTTGTTGACGATTAACTGTTTCTCACATTTTTCGGACATGCTGTATATCGACGCCTATCTTTTTTTCTGAGAATTTCAAGAAAGTATTGTTTTTTTTTTGAGACAAAGAAGGCGATATAACAATGATCTGTAAAGTGGCACCATCGACGCATTCGTCCTTTGAATTTTATCGCTTAAAGTGATTTTTATTTGGGTTTTTCTCTCTCTCTCTTTTTCTCAACCATTTATCTAATTGTAATCGTGGGAATCACTTTCTGCTTTGAGAAATGTAGGCGATGGAAGGGTAATAATAGATGGTCTGAAGGTTTACATCGCAAAAGTTGGGACATTTCTTCTCAGAAGTAAATTGGACTATACAAAAGACTTAATAAACGTAGACTTGTGTAGGCTATCCTGTTCGCAGACGCCTGTGAAGAGCTACGAATTTGTGTTTTCGGTGTGCACCCCCTGGAAGAGATTTGCGAAAGCCAGAGAAAGGTTATGGGCAGGAATTGTATTTATTTCAACAATTTAGATCTGGTCTCAGCAAAACTGAAAATGATGGATTTTTGTGTGATATGGTTGAAGACCTGGCAACACTGGATTCATGACTATTTTTTTGCACTCGATAGGTTACGTCAACTACGAACTTCACAAATCAGCAGGGTGCCGAGGTTACATTCAATTCTGGATCAAATGTGTGTCGCGATAGTGATTAAGAGGATGAGAATTCGCATCACTTCAAGCAATGCACACCCAAAGCGGATACAACGTTACTGATACAAATTCTATACTTCTGAGAAATAATGTGCAAGCAGTCTCTTCAAATCTTACATCTTACCTGACGGATACACATAGATTTTGTTCCCGAAATATTCGTTTCTAGAATGATTTTGAGGAACTTCCCGTAGAAATTCTAGTTTAGTGAACGGTAGATAAAGAAATCATTTGCTTGCATTCTTTCTGGTAAGTATACTGTACTCAAACAAGGCTAATCTTGCAATATAATGCTGAAAAAAGGCAAGAAAGAGAGGACCTAAATTACCTAATGAAACAGTGGATACTTGAAGTACATCCGCGTTGGCAAGCATCCGTGCCCAAAATTTTTGTCATACATGACTATACTATCAGTGTTGTAAGAATGTTTTTCAGTAGTGGCAAATGTTTATTTCGTACTTACTCCATAATTGATTCGCATCGTGACCTAGCGCTTAAAAACAATGCATGGTGAGAAGTATCAGTTGCTGTAACTTGCTGCGTCATGCATAATCGTACCATTAACATCTTGGTTGGTTTATGTTTCCACTCTTTTTCGTTTGGAAAACTAGTATCGAGATGAGAGAGTTCCCTATGCAGAATCTGTTTCTTCTTGATGCAAAGGTACCTACTGAAGCATGAGAGGTTTTGACAATGAAAGCACCTGTAAGCATCCTCTGGTAAAATGTCTTTTTGTGAAGGGCAGGATTCTTTAGCAAATTTCAATACGAAAAGCACAAGAAACTTTTCTTGTTCATTTTCCTACTAAATCTATCGTAATAATAGATGCCTTAGGATTGTACTACCAATCGATAACTTTTTTACTGCCGCTTCTCATGGTTCTCAGATTTTTCCAACCTAGAGCGTCACTACTGTTGCTGTAGCAAAATAAAAATTTCAAGCTTTTTTGATGATGCTCTAACACTATCTGCTAGAATATATCGCTAATTAGTTGAAAGTGACTTGCGCGTCAGAACGCGGCTAGAGTTGCCCGCCTTTTTTGAGAGTTTGAGGATGATTGTAGACAAGTTCAAAAGACTTCCATATCTTCGAAGGGCCTGGTACTACATCTTTGATCGATCACTCTTCTCAGCTTCACGATGTATCAGCGAGACAAAAACCAGTCATGTTGAAGTGTTAACCGTAGTATTGGATTTGATTAGGCTTGATTATGTACAGTTCACCTTTGATACAATTAGTTGATGAGTTTGCTGTATGGGCAGTAACCAGAAGTGGTGATATGAAAAACGGCACAAAAATAGGAAAATTTTCTGGAATTCAACGACGCATGGTAACCATTCGTGTGCGAGCGTACATGATCTTAAAAAATTTTCATACGAAAAAATCAACCTGTTTATGTACCTCTGACCAAATCGTGACATTCGCAAAACAGCAGAATTTCGACTATTTTCTCTTGTCACTAAAATCTCGTTGAGTGACATTTGAATTGCACTTGACTTGGGGTATATTGAAGTATTGTTGTAATGTTTAAGTGCTTTTGTACTGGCGTTTTCTCTTTCTCTAAAAATGATTGTGTGCGAATCATAACTGTGAACGCATTCAGGTCGCCTGAACCCGAGACTCTTGAGAGTATTTTTAGGCATTCATTGATGTAACAAAAACGCTAATCATAAGCCTTTCTTTATATTCCAGTGAAAACTCAATCTGAGGCATAGGGCATTGTTCTCAGGACCAGCTTTTTATCGCATCGTCACATCGTCGCTATACTCTTGCTTGCCGATCATGTTGCTTTATGTAAGTGTCCTGAAGAAATCGTGCGGATCTATGCTATGCAATCTTGATTCCAAAGCATCATCGAAATATTGCTTAAGTCTCAAAGTTCTGCGTCTTCTAGACATTTTTGCACTCATCCAGCCTTCCTTTGTACATTGTTCTTTTTTCTTATGAATTGCACTCAATTTCCTTAGACAAGGACTTTCAACCAAGCAGTTACCCGTAGTTAGCCAGGCATTTATGATGGATCCAGCGTCCCTTACTTCCATGTTCGACTTTCATGCGTACTCGGCAATTCTACGAAGTTTCTTGGAATCAGTGAGTTGGAATTTGCAAGGTCGACGAGATGGAGTAGATCTACGAAAAGTTCGAAAGACTACTGTTCCTAAACATTTATGCGTAAAAACTACTATTTACATATTCAGTAATTCAAATCCGTGTTCACGTTCCAACTTAGAGACAATCGGGGTCGGAAATTGCTTTGTGAATAGAGTTCTAATTGCGCATTTACATATATCTAACATTTCTTATGCAGTAATCGAGAAGAAGCTAATATGCTACGACTAAGTTCAAATTTATTTACAACTTTCCATATCATCCGAGAACACACTTGAAATTTGTGATTCATGGCTTTTTTCTATCATTTTTACCTTTATGCTTTTATCTTTACTTTAATAAAACATTTTCTGGAGGATCAGGTATGAAAATTGGGACTTACTATAGTTTTGAGAGGGCCCACTCTAAAGATAAAAATTTTCTATTCTTCCACCACATTTCTCTATAATGAGCCATTTGAACACTTTGTATTTAGGCTCGAGAAATGTCCCCGGATGAACAACCATGGATGATAAAGCTGATGATAATAATACTAGGATATGCAAGTGTTGTGCTTCCAGCTTGTCTCCTGATTTGCATCGTGCGGCGGAAATATGCAAGTAAGTTGGGTTGAGTGGTAGCAGTTCATTTGGGAAGATGTGTAAGTTTATTGGCAAACTGCCAACATCTGATAACCACTCCGTCATATTCAAACCTTCCGAGTAATGCTTTCTTCTGAAACATTGGCTTGAATTTTTTCGAGCTACGGTCTTACACCACTCATGTTACCAAATGTTTTGTTGTTGTACCATCTGATACTCTCAAACGAAATTTCTTCTCGTCCTGATACTATAGGCACTGCATGGTTAGCAAAATTCTTCAATATCTCCTGACGACCACCATTGCTCAATGTGCAGTCAGATGCGATCTTCCTCCTGCTTACGGCTAGCTTATAATAGAAAAAAACGCATCTTGTCTTATCCTTTCCTTTCACTGCTGATTGTTTGGTAGTAAGAACACATGCTACATCTTAAGTCATAAGGGGGTTACAGTAGGCCTCTTCGATACAAATGTTGATGTGTCCTAAGTCCATTACATATTGTTTGTGCATTTAGCGTAATGACTGAACCTATCGATTAGAAAGTGAAGAAACGAAGCGTTATAGTTGGCCTTCCAATTATCTCATTGTTAGTAACATTTGAGATGTCAAACAATACGTAATCTTATATATAAAGCTGAATGTCTGTTTGTATGTCTGTCTGTCTGTCTGTATGTCTGTCTGTCTGTACGTATGTTCCGAATAGAAAATTCCATTTCTGAACCGATCCGGACCAAACTTGGCACACATACACATCGGGCCCCGGCGGGTGTCATAGGCTACTTTTCGTCATCGATCGATATCGATTTTATCGATTTTTATCGATTTTTTTGCTGAGTTCACCTACGGGGCTGGGAGTTGGCACAGGGGGGTAATCGAGCATGGGGATTCCGAATACAATATTGGTTTTCAGGATTATCGATTACTTCTATCGATTTTATCGATTTTTTTGCAAAGTTTGAGCTACGGGGCTGGGAGTTCGCACAGGGGGGTAATCGAGCATGGGGATTCCGAATACAGTATTGGTTTTCGGGATTATCGATTACTTTTATCGATTTTATCGATTTTTTTGCAAAGTTTGAGCTAGGGGGCTGGGAGTTGGCACAGGGGGGGGGGGGTAATCGAGCATGCTGATCACTCCCAAGGGGGGTGATCAGCATGCTCGATTACACCCCTGTGCCAAATTCCAGCCCCCTAGCTCAAATTTTCAAAAAATCGATAAAATCGATAAAAGTAATGGACGATCTTGAAAACTAATATTGTATTCGTAATCTGCATGCTCGATTACCCCCCTGTGCAAACTCCCAGCCCCGCAGGTCAAACTTTACAAAAAAAATCGATAAAATCGATAAAAGTAATGGACGATCTCGAAAACTAATATTGTGTTCGTAATCAGCATGCTCGATTACCCCTCTGTGCAAAATCCCAGCCTCGCATGTCAAAATTTACAAAAAATCGATAAAATCAATAAAAGTAATCGATAATTCTGAAAACTAATATTGTATTCGTAATCAGCATGCTCAATTACCCCCCTGTGCCAAATCCCAGCCCCCTAGTTCAAATTTTGCAAAAAATCGATAAAATCGACATCAATCGATAACGAAAAGTGGACTGTGACACCCGCCGGGGCCCGAAGTGTATGTGTGCCAAGTTTGGTCCGGATACGGCGGAGCCGGGTAAGCCAGCTAGTGTGTCTATATGTAACCTTTGATTCAACTGGCTTGGCGTCTGGAATGCGGGGCTTTGTGACCTAAGTAAGGCCGCTCGCGTGCTCTCTGATCATTACCTCGCCTTTAGGTCACGAAGATCCGCCTTCCAGACGCCAAGCCAGTTGAATCAAAGGGTAGATTTCTCTACTTGCTTGAAACGAAATATGCCAAATAACAATATACCAAATCCCGTACGTATTGTTGCCTAAATCTAAACACTTGCCTTGCTGTTCTTGTGGGGCTACTGTAAGCGATTAATATGCTTGTCCGCATTTTGCTTTGCCTAGGTTTGATGCCCCCCCCCCATCCCTCAAGATCTGTTTTTTTTTCGTTTTCTTAAAGACGCTTTGAGTTGCGATGTTTATGATACCAAGAACCTATAAATGGTTCCGACAGTGGCCGTAATCAGCAACAGAATCGAAAAAAATTTTTTTCTTGGGGTAATCTGACTTTTAAGAAAATCGTTTTTGGTTCTTACAATTCAGTCCATAACCGTAACACAAGAAAAATATGATGTTCCTTTCCAGCAACTGAGCCGAGGAGTGCATTCGGGCGGTTTCTTCGCGCTTTTGCTGTAGGAACTGAGAATTATCAACTACTGGAGACCCCGGGCAATAAAATCACGTTGCCAGACAAACGTAATCTTCTGAAAGATGCCATTGCTTTATTATTCTTCTTTTCTGGTATCCAGGTTTGTTCACTTTTTTGTGTGGATATGATAGTTTGCAAAAGATCTAGTTTTAGTGCACGTTAGTCATGATGGGTTTCCTGCAAGAGCGTATCATCACGAGAGGTTACCAAGTGCACGATTCGGATGTGGTAAGCTTTCACTCTTTATGTTGGAATTCTCTAGATTCATCTTTAACTGAATGCTGTAATTGAAGATAGATCGATTCGGAGATGCGCAATTCTTAGTGTTTTGCAATCGCGTTGTGGCCATATTCGTTTGTGCGATCGTTCTGCTTCTAACTTGGAGGAGGTCAGTTGTAGTTTCCTGGACAGCAAGTAAATATGATTCTGAAATGGAAAGTTACGAAAGGGATAGGCCTTGGTAGAGAAACAACATACCTGAAGTAACTAGATAACAGTGCTCTGATCTCAAATGAGCCGCGTGAGAGCATGGTTTTTCTGAAAATCGCCTGAAATCTTATCGAGTGCCCTGCTTCGAAGAAAGTAATCGGCAACTGCTGGCTTTGATTACTCCATTAAATGGTTCAGCAGAAACATAGCGAGTCTTGTTATCTAAGCGCACGGGACTATAAATTAGCGGCTGCGTTGAAACTTTGTTTCTTACAATTTTGTAAAACCACCATCAATCTTTGCTAGAGTCAAACGTACATCATTAAACTTGCATTTCTTGCAAGAATATTCCTCTTTTCCTAAGTTCGAACTGGCGGTGTTTCTTATTTAGTTAGTGGACCTGTTTCCTAAAAAGACTTGCTAGCCGCCATCTGAACCTTTGCTAGAACAAAGGCTTTAGCTTAGCAGCACCTGATTTACGAAAGCGATAAGCGCTTGCGTGCGCGATTTTCTGTTGCAATCCTAAATCCGTTCGGATATTCTTTTCTTCAACAAGGCCTAGAAAATTGGTGCATCTACAGGGACAAAGCTTTTTTTCTGCAACAAACTTTGCTAGTCACAGCCTCTTTTGTTTCTTTGCCTCTGAACAACTAAACGTATGCAGCAGGGCTACTCTGTTCCCTTTGGGGATTTCTCTAGACAACCACTATCAATCCTATAACTTCTTGAACAGTCTGTTGTTATGATAGCGTGGAGGTCTTTTGCATTACTGTGGCAGAGTATATGAAGTTCTAGAAATTGCAGTATGGAGCGGTTCCTTTAGCGCCCAAAAATAGTAAAATTAGACGGTTAATCTCCCTAAATTCCCTTTGAGATCTCAGGGTCTTTAACGAATGTGGCATTACTATCCTCTATATGTCGCTGAATGTGTACCAAAACGTTGACTTGAAGTTTTGGTCTGTTGTATTTTCGCACCACTTCTTCCTAAAATGAGCTATAACTTTTCTTTGCAAGCGCTTAAGTTCGTTGAGAAGAAGTTTAGGCTCTGGAAACATTTCTATCATTTACTAATTTTTAACACTACAGGCAACCTCCTCATGTACAACCACTATATGTCCATTCTTTCACCTCAATATCAAACACTATGTCAACGTGGTGTCAGTATGAGGCTTTGAAATATGTTTCCTTTCCCACTCAGGTACGTCTCAGTCACAAAGGCGAAGATGTTTAAGTTTTTGTGATCTACGCAAATTTAGACAATTTGCAAAACATCCAAAGTAGTGGTGACGATGCTGATGGGATTGGTATTACGCGGTCAGAGATACTCCTGGCAGGAATGGGGATGTGGTAGCGCTGTAGGTGTGGGTGCTAGCCTTTTTCTGTTGAGTAGCGGTCGCAGTCGTGCCGAAGGGGTTGTGACATCGGTAAGTTCACGTATCTCAAAATTCAAAAAAGCTGAAAAAAAAAAAGACTTTTCTTTTAGATCTCCGGTATGCTGTTGATGACTGGATATTTATTATTTGATTCTTATACTTTGAACTATCAAAAGAAGCTTTTCGATAAAAAACCAAAGATCTCAAAGTATCAGGTAAGCCTACAGTTGGCAGAATCATATATCCGCTAGTCTTTGTAACTCAATATGTGAGTTTGCACACTATGCGCGGCAACTGACAACACCTTTACTAGTAATGCAATTGAACCTTTCCTGGTGTAACACAGTAGAAATATGTCTACGAATCAAGAGACAAATAAACATGGTGGAATCACTGAATAAGAGCAAGCGATGTTAAGTAGAGCGTATGGTGTGCTATACCATACCGAGTTACAGATGACTCGACGATATTTTGCTAAAAGCTTCAAAAATACTTTTGAATTTGGTCCATTCAGATAAACCTTATTTTAGATGATGATGGGTGTAAATGTATTCTCAGCGATACTCTGTGCAGTTTCTCTCATTGAACAAGGAACTCTCTTTTCATCTATAGACTTTGCTCTTCGACACAAGAACTTTGCAAGAGATTCATTCTTTTTGAGTTTGTCAGGGGCTACAGGACAGGTTGGTCGCCAATTTTTTTAACGCACAGCTTCTTAAAAATAAGTTGATGATCTCTGTTCATCTCTAAATTGCCTCACTACATAGAAATGCAACCGTTTAAATATAAAGCGGAACTAGAAAATTTCATTCGAATTAATCATACGAAACAATTATAAGCAACCTTATATATACTTAGTTACCATTTGGGAGATATGAGGATTCCGAAATGAGTTAGCAAACTAAGTATTATATCTTGAGAAATCGACACATTTTCCTGAACCCTTTCTCCAGCAAAGATGTCGCTAACTCCTTAAGCTTTTCAAGCCCGCCTTTCCTGCTTGGCAGTATACACAACTTGTCCTACTATTTGGCTTTGATCATCCTGCATCAATTTCCACTTTGTGATTGGAGCCAAGTGAGCCTTTCAAGTCGAAATCCTGGCTTTCAAAGCGTAGAAACCACCACTTAGCTGTCCTTTCTTCTACTGCATCAGCACCATAGACCGCACATATGTCTCGTGTTGCTTTTTCTGGTGTATGATTTCTGTGGAACGCATAGAGTAGAATGTGTCTGATGTGTTCATCTTTGTCCACTTGGCAGTCCATTTTGACAAGCTGAAATTAGTAATTGTTCTATAGTTTGAGAATTTTCATTATATTGAAGAGGTGGACACAAGAACCGTATCTCTTCTTATCGCTCCCAATAGGAGTACGGTAGCACAGGGAAATTACTCGGACATCAAAATACTAGTCCGTATATCTTGAGACTGCTGAAATGAACTATAAAATTTAAAGGGGAGGGGGGAGAAAGTAGAGGAAGAAACGGAGGAAAGGTTTTAGCTGTTTTGCGTGACTATGTTCCTTACATAGGCATAATTAATGGTAAAATGACATTTTTGATCCTAAGACGATTTCTCGAAAGTACTGCTGAATTATTGCCAGTCAAAGTTTCTCCGTTCCATAGACTGCCACAATAATTCATCGTAATTGTTTCAAACATCCGAAGCAATGAATTTGTAGCTGGTATTTAGATGTTTTTTGAGTAGCACAATATTGCAAGAATTTCTTGAACGTCTTGCTTACCACGACTTTGTAGAATACCGTCAAAATTTTCAAAATTCGTCATTCCAGCTTTTCATCTATTCCACCATCGAGAGGTTTGGACCTATTGTCTTTGCTGTGATGATGACCATTCGACAGGTGTGCTTTTTTGGAAGAAATTATGGTATCCATAGGATTTTATTCAATTTTTTTAGATGCTGTCTATTCTCTTATCATCATTCTACTATGGTCATCCCTTATCGAGCTGGTCCTTGATAGGTTTTGCGATAGTATTCACAGCGATATTCCTGGACATTTACCGGCGTTACTTCGAAAGACGAAGAAGTGTCAAGCAGTAGTGCTGTTATGGAGTCCTTCAGGGTTCAGACCTAGTGAAAAAATTGTTAAGAAATTAGAAATCGACTTTTTCCTTCGAAGAGCCTTCTAGCTAACTATATTGACTCTATCAATCTTGTTGATCTAGTCTCTAGTCTACTCCTGCAGACTTTACACAACGTACTATCTCGCATAATTTTGTTCGTTCTCAACGAAAGTATTAGTTCAATTATTGAACCTCACTACAATCTCCAAGATAATGACGCATTTTTGAAAAATTTCGCACTCTTTCAAGATTGTTTTCTTTGTTGTGAATACGGGTTTTTGTATGATAAATATAAGCACACTGAAATTTTTAGCATGACATTGGTACACTAATGGTTGGTCCATTCTTGAACAAAAATATACCTTCTTTGCTTTACACAAAACAAGGTTTTCATTCCGCAAAATAAAGTCTCAGTAAAATCAAAACAAGATTTTGTTGGCAGGTGTCCACTATTAGGTTGGCTAATAAATAATTTTGATCGGTTTTGCGACTCCTACAGATGATGCAGACAATTTTTTGTCTAGTATTCGGTACCGTTGGAAAGATCACTTCAATGAGAATTGGAACATAGAATCTTTGAATAGAATTTATTTTGCTGTGAAAGAATTCTGCAGGGAAGTGAGAAACACCAGTTTTCACATTGGGCACAAATATGAGAAAATTTGATTTTTTGGTCAAAGGATTTTGAAACTGCAGATTACAATTTTAATCGGTATTCGTTGAATAGGGAATACTTGTCTGTATCCAAATACCAAATTGCTGTTCTTTACATCCATTAGAGCATGAAAACGAAGCTTCTAAACTCGCGGAATTGAGCTTTTGGAATTTTAGCCTTCCTTACCGATAGTTTGAAAATCTGAATAGTTGATATGTGGTAGAAGAAACTTTGAAAGTTTAAAAATCTGAATGGTTGATATGTGATAGAAGAAGTTTTGAACTACTTACGCACAAGATATCATGAGTAAAGAGCAACTAGGAAGGTTTTTATGAAGATTTTGCCAAAACAAAATTGTTTTTCAACCAACCTAATAGTTTGCGGACTAATCTACTTTTCACTCAAACTTTTGCATAAGTGGTTTTGCACGTCCAAGAAAATGGAATTTCGACGGTCAAGGTCTCAACATTCGTTGTGACAAAAAAAACTGTCATCTGAGATAAGGGTCAGAGATTAAAGTGGACCTTATACGCTGATTACCGTAACGCACAAAGAGGTCTCTATGCGGTAAAGGCTTTGCGAATTCACATCCAAACGCTGATAGTTGACTTTAGGGAGAGGTGAAAGTGGGGTAAAAACGGGTATCTCATGCTAGAAGTTAGTGGCATCAAAGGCTGTATGTGTATAAACAGCTTTAAGATTCAGCGCAATCAGCAGGGATAGGAGAAGAAGTTTATTCGTTACGGAAATACTGCCTACTGACATCCAAAAAAATGCAGCTCACAATATTTCAAAAAAGATAAAATTAGAATTTTTATCAAGGCACAACAAGCACAATACAAGACAAGACCTGCGCAAGCATTTTGGATAAAGTATATTTAAAAGCGAACAACAACTGCCGAATATGCGTTAGCCGATCCTCACAAAACAATATGTATACTGCGTTTATGACAAACAAAAAAGCAAACAACAAATCGAAAATTACCCAAAATGGTGCATGTTGATATGAGTCTCCGTATGATATTTGGTGATAATGGATGATTCTGATATTGCTATGAATTTATTATGCTATTACCGGTAAGCAATATTATTTACAGAGATTCGTATTTATACGGCAAGTGAAGACTTGACAAGTGGTCGGCGATAGAAGATCAGAATCAGATCACATCTTCCAAAAACTCTCCCGGCAATCGTTCTTTGATCTCGTCCTAAGAAAGGTGTAAAAATCTTCTAGGCGAAGCAAAGTAGAAAGAGTAGAATTAGTCTACAAAATGATTTGAGATACTTCAATCGCCTTACTATTTCACATCTATATATGTAATCTTGGATCCAACTGACTTGACGGCTGGAAGGCGGGGCTCTGTGACCTAATTAAGATTGCTCGCGCCCGCAACACATCTATCCCCGCGCGTGCTCTAGCCTCAATTAAGTCATGAAGTCCCCTCCTTCCAGCCGCCAGGCCAGTTGAATCATAGGGTATGTATCATGGCATACCCAGGATCTCCGTCCGGGGGGTGGGGAGGGGTGACAAAATTTATCTTGGGATAAAGGTCATGTCAGCCACGCACTCCGAAAAAAAATTTTTTTGGATGCTTCTCAAGAATTTTGCCCTCCCACAAGTCCAAAATTCTAAATAAATAAAGGGGTCTGGCGGCACCTACACCACAATTTTCTTCAATTTCGATGGTCCATTCAATATGCATCTGTCCGCCATCAGAACCAAATTCATGCAGAATGTTAGCTTTTTTGAGTGCATCCTTCGATGCGACAGATTTCGAATAAAATCATGCACTTCCTTGACTCCCTTTGAATAATCTTCTTGAGTCTCGAATGAAAAATCAGCATGAGGTCAACAATAATTCGCGTAGTACATTAATAATACATTTCAAAACTCAAGAGCGCTAAAGTACGTCTGTATCCCTTTTAAAACACTACGGCATCTGTCAACAAGAAAGAAGGCAAATGATATAGAACAGACATTTCTCAGGTCATTTGCGTTACAACAGAGAAAAAACTCTATTCCTGCGTCACTAGCATTTTTTACAGTTCTACGGCTTCCATGAAGAATGAATTTCATTGTGTTACTGAGGACTGCACTTTACGCAATGCACATTTGCAATAAAACAACGACTTGAAATAGCTGAGGATTTGCATTGTTTTTATACACTATTACACATCCTGTGAGTATACGAAAGTGGATTTTATGCACGTTACAACTGAATACTCAGTACCAAAGCTTTGCAGACTGAATTATTCAAATTTCATACTAGCGCTAATTAGGAGACAAGAGGGTCGAGATTCATCTGACTGAACCGGTACACTGCCTATAATAAAAGTCGACTCGCTTGTCTGTGATTAGTCAAGATATTGCAGAATGATCCCAGAAGAAAAGCGCGCATAAAAACGCACATCAGATATACAGAACTAGGTCAGTTTGAAAGTTCTGTCGTTTTATTTTCAAAAAATTGTAACTCTGCGCTATCTCAACGGATTTGCTGGTTTGTAATTTTATTGAAAAAAATAAGTCTTTCGCTTTCAGACGCTATCTTGTAGAGCTTCTGTTTCACACTGAATGCATAGATAAAAATGGAAGAGGAAGACAATGTAAGCTTCGATCATTTCAAGTGAGCTAACCAAAAATCTAGAACGTTGCAAATAAATTCCGAAAGCATCAGTACATAAGTTTTATGACTTACTCTTTGCAACTGTAAAAAGTTTCTGCTGTTATGAGGTTTCTGTAAAAAGTTATGAATTTCGACTTTTACTGCAGAGAACGCCAAAATTGATTGATTTGTCACTTTTCGAAAATGCAAAGAGCAGCTGCAAAAAGTAGATAATAAACCTGTAACTTATGTACTGAAGATTTCAGATTTTCTTACAGCGTTCCAGATTTTTGATGGGCTAACTCAAAACGATCATAGCTTACACTGTCTTCCTTTTCCATTTTTATCTCTGCATTCAGTGTGAAACAGAAGCTCCACAAGACAGCTTTTATAAGCGAAAAACCTATTCTTCTTAATAAGTTATAAGCAAGCAAATACGTTAAATTAGTGCAGAGTTACAATCTTGAAAATGAAACGACAGAACTTTCGGCCGACCTAATACATTTAACCGCATCAGTGAGGCGTATTTTTAAAAAGCGCGTACATTGAGCAGTTGATGAACAACTCTTACTTTTGCTGCTTTGCGTATGTTCAATTCATATGCATTAGTCTTCGTATGGATACACTGTGGTCATTGAGGCACACTCTTTTTCTCCCCTAGAATCGCCCTTCACCTCCCCGGTTTTTTCAATAATAGCAAACACATCAATTATGTTACGCGTATAGTGATGGCATGCCAAAAATTCAGTGGATTCTAGTAAGCACGTTTATCGAGATGGGGGTTGGGAATCGGGAAAAAAGAGCACTTCTAACATTCTCAAATCAAATTCCATAATGAGATGGATTCGACATAGTGCAAAAAGAAAGTTACATATGTTGTTATAGGTACATACGTTCAGAAAAGCGTCTATGGAAGTTATGAAAAGAATTTTTCGGTACAGAGAGAACATACAACATAATTTTTGTATAGCATGCTTACCTCATACTTTCGCTGAGTACAGCTTTGTCGCACTATTTGTACTACTATATGCAGTACTATAGCTATCATACATGCCAATAGTATCGATCCTAGCACGACACTCATAGGAATTCGAACGAATTCCAATAAAGCCATATCTGCAAAGAACGAACGCAGCTGTGTGTCACCTCCTTATTTACGAACGGCTGCGACGCGTAAACAAACAAAAGATGTGCTGGGAAGGCCATGCCACTTGTTTATTCCTTCAAAATTTATTAGCAAAGCAAAAGCAACATATGGGAACTTAGGGTCTAAGCACTTACCCATGACTATATTAGGTACTAGGGAGGATGGCAACTACTGAAATGTTGAATGAAGAGAGATTCATGGCTGTTCCAAACCAGTTATGCAGTATCGATTCCTGAGGGGCAACGGCCTCACACTAGCTGAAACAACATGCGCGGCTCCCCCTAATGATACTATCAATACGCAAGGCATTGTTTTTATAAGCATTACTTCAACAGATAAAAAAATCTAGCCTTATGAGGATTTATTATTGATCGTTATCAAGCACGAAGATGAAGCGGTCGATCACTCAAGCTGCACAACAAATGAAAGCTTGGAATGCTAATTCCAAAACTGCTTATTTTAACTATAGAGCTAAAGGAAAAAATATTATGAGCAATTTTTGAAGTCGGAGTTTGAAGTACTTGCCGAGATAAAATTAGTCACAACAGCCTACTAGATCTTAAGTAAAGCAGCGGCAAGTGTCATTAAACTTTTACATAAACCTCTTCTGCCTAGTCTATCAGTACTTTTTATTTCTTTATTTGACGTCTAGAAAGGATGTAACGTGACTTTCGGTCACTAGCTCATTTTTTTCGCCCCAAAAATGCTCATAACTTGTTTACAAAAAGCACTCTGCATATAAAATAGAGATTTGGTGTTAGCGCTCCAAGCTCTTACTTTTAGTATGCAGTTTATGTGATTGGCTACTTCGACTTCGCGACCCTTGTGTATTTCTATGGTAAAAAAATCTTGCTCGATAAGAAACC